AACTAGGGTGGGGGGGTTGGGTGTTACGTTTCGGGCTGTTTGGTTGGGGTTAGGTGGGTCGTCTATGGGGAAGTGCGTTTGGAAGGTTTGGGTGGTATTGTGTGTATGGTATGTGTTTTATTTTTCAAATGACATGTTTGTGCATTATTTGGTAACTTCAGAAAGTGTAGTTTGGTAACTTCAGTTCGATGGTATTGTGTATGTAGTTTATGTTTTCTTTTTCTTCTTTAATTTGAAAATGCCAATTATGTCCCAAATTTGTTAGTGGGTATGATTTGAATGTGTATGTGGAGTGTTTTGTTTTTATTTAGGTGTGAAAATCTAATAATGTGCTTTCATCTTACTCTTTTTGTTTTGGTACAACGTGGGCGAGCCTTACAAAGAGTTTTACTGGAGAGAGCCTTACTGAAAAGTTGATCCTAATGGCTTCAGATGGGCAAACGTGGGCGAGCCTTACAAAGAGTTTTATTGGAGAGAGTTTCAGGTATATTTAAGTAATTTATTAAATATTTTTGTAGCATGTTTGAAGGTTTGTGATAAAAAAACTTAAAATAGAATTTCGTTGTAATAATGATATATACAGAAAAATGTCTCTTGGCACCCTGTAATAGATGATAATGTCATGAAGGGAGCTTTCTTCCGCAAAGCCTTAGATTGTCATGCGGATTTTGTTGGGAATATAAAAAATCCTAAAAGACTCAAAGATCAAGGAAGGGAAAAGGTGCATGCGATCATTGTTGATGGTTAGAAGCGGGTAAATCATTGATATAATGTTATATAGATGACATTATCTAAAAATAATTTATTTCTTATGTTTATAATTGAAAACCAAATTCATTGTAATATTTACATAGATGTGGACTGAGGAGAAATATTTAGCTCTTTGTCAAAACAACAAAGCAAATAGACGTGGAGGAGATATAAATGCGTCGGCAAAACCCACACACACTGGGGGACAGCGCTCTTTTGACGAGTCTCTTGAGATTCTTGTAAGTGCTAATTACATAAATGTAGATAGTGATAACATTAACTCATTTAATAATAACTCTATTTTTTTTTAAATTAGAGCCAAAGCTTGGACGAGGGAGAAGATTCTACCTTTGTCTCGTACACCCACACCAAAAATCATGACAAAAAAACGTGGATCATCGAAAAAGCAGTGATAGTGGTAGTAAGTCATAAGCTTTTGCAATAATTTATATATTTGTGTGTGTGTAATAATTTCTATGTACATGTATGAGTTATTTTGTTATCCATAAATTATGTAGGAAAACTATAATAGTTTGAAAGAACAAGCTATGCAGGAGGGGATTGATGTTGCGCCAGGAGAACTATTTTATGTGGCAGCTGATGGACATGATGCAAAAAATCGTGTTTTCGGTACAGGTTCAGCTGCGCGTAAAATTCCAAATAATACTTTGAGATAGAGCATACGAGCCAGCACGAGCAGTATCTCCGACATGGAGAACAATGAAGTTCTTAGTTTGTGCAAGGAATTGCTAGAATTCAAAGCAATGGTTGAAGCAAGGGACAAAACGATATTGGAGGAAATAAAGATGCTCCGCGGTCGTCATGGTGATGGTCGATTTGATAATGAAGATGGTGGTGGTGCAGGTGGTACGACGGGCTGTGTTTGAACATTATACTTCCCTTATTTATTATTGTTAAACACTTCAACGTTCTTTAAGTACCTTATATTTGAGGCATAATACATTTTGTGGATTAGAGACTACTTTGGTTACGATCAATATTTGGTTTGTTTGAAAATTTGCTTTGTTCATTTCTTGTGTTTTTTCCTGTTTCTGTCTTTTGTTCTAGTTGGTATCTGATTTTTGGCCAATTTTGTAGCTGTATGGCTGCCTGTAAAAACTGATTTCTGCATGCAGAATCTGGTCATGTTGCGGCGGAGTTTGCGACAGAAATATTCCGTCACAAAAGTTTTACGTGTTATACTAGAAGTTGCAAATGCCGTCGCAAATCCACTGCGACGATTTCCATCTGTCGCAAAAGGCTGTCGCAGATATGTCTACCAGAACATTTTGAAACACTTGTAAAGTCCGTCACAAATGCTACGACGGCTGACCACCGTCGTAAATTTGGTCGCAGAGTTGTGACGTCATGGTCGCACGACGGTTTGCGGCCAAAAAACTACGACGGAGTGAAAGTGGTCGCAAATGCCGTCGCAACTCTTAATTGCGAGAGAAAAGAAGCCATTTGCGACGGAAATATTCCGTCACAAAAAGCTGAAATTCTTATAGTGGCGGGCTGATCCAACACACAAATCACAAGTTACATGGGTGTTGATCCAACCCCATGAGCCAAGGTAAGTCTACCTAGAGGAAATCTAGAGCTGACTCAAGTACTAGTATTAGGAAAGTAAGAGTCTAAACCAAGTGGATGCCTGCTGGGCTCCAATGGTTAATTAAACCAGGTAAAAACGTACGTACGGGTATCCTTGAACTGCTGGTGATCCATCTGGTGGGGATTCCACTCACCCAATGGAGAACACCTTTGTTGGTTGAGCATGGCCCGTAGATCCAGTGGGAACCATCATGACTCCCAAGTAAAGTAGTAAGGCCATAGTCCAATATAGTTAATAAGGACAGGTTCTTGGTGATCCGCCAACCGTGAGAACTCCCTCGTTAGTTGATTATGACCCGCTGATCCAGTGGGAACAATCATGACTCCAAGAAAAGTAGAAAGTCCTAACTCTAGTGTTGAGTACAAGTACAAACAAATGGTGATCCACCACTACAAGATACGCTCTGTTTTGGCGAGAATAGAAAAAGGGCAGGGCAAGGTAAATTATATGATGAACTGTTTATGTGAACTGCATGATATTAAATCTATGTGCACGATATCATGTTATGATTGTGAATTAGTGGATTCGCCTATGTGTATGTTCGAACTGTTAGATATTTCTCACTAAACTTCGTTGCTGAGCGTGTAGCCTCTTTTTCCCCTTGTTACACGTAGGTAATAATGGAGGAGCCGACCTTGGAATACACCCTAGAGGGGCAGCATGACGGAGGAGATGTATGGATGCAAGAATTTAATGTTTGATCAAATTATGAAGCTTCCACACTATTTGTATAAACTCTGATATGTATTTAAATTGTTTTAAATTGTTTGAGGTTTTAAATAAAATGTTTTAATTCTTTTGAAAATATTGTATGTGGATACCAACCTTGTAGCAACCTAATTCGCTAACCTATTTATTCGGGTTACGCGGGTTGGGGTGTTACAATATCACCCACCCGACAGTTCACTATTCGGTTGGTACCTGATCCATAAGACTCATAGGATGGATCATCGGTTCTTGTGTTCTGCCTTAAACTATTTATAGTTTAAGAGCCCGGTTAGAAATATTGCCTTAGACTAAGAATAGTATAAGAGCTTTGTAATCAAAATGATTTGACCTTACATTAAGAATAATTTAAGAGCACTGTTAAAATACTGAATATGGAATATTCTATATATCATGAAATGACTCGAATTAACATATTGTGAATATCATGAATGATGAATGCTTGGATTGAATGTTATGTGCATGATATCAAATGATTTGATTATGAATTGAGATTCAAATCATATGTATGTTTGATCCTTACTCAGCTTTACCGTTGAGCGTGTAGTATGTTTTATTTGCTAAACAGAGGTAAACAAACAAATGAAGTGATGGTCGGGATGGAGTGTGAATTTGAATTATTGTTCTAAATGACATAAATTTATTGTGTTTGTAATTACTCCCTCCGTCCAAAAATAAACTTTACGTTCACTATTCACAAGGTCAAACTTTATTCACATTGATGGCCTATTTTGGTCACGTATTTGATAAAATAATATAGTCATGTCACCTCTAGTTTTGTAGATCATTTGATATAGTTTTTTAATATGTAATTTTTATTTTTCAATTCTACACCATTTTTCTTATAAAATAATTTGAAAATAATTTCAGTCAAACATCGTAACACGTAATGTAAAGTTTATTTGTGGATGGAGGGAGTGTGATTTATTAAGCTTCCGCAACTTTAAAAGAACTCCGTTATTATTCTGAATAGTTTATTATGAAATAAAGTTTGAAAATGATTGAAATGTTTTGAATGTTTACGAATACCAAGTTTATACATTAGTCTAAAAGGGGCTGTAGACCTGGACGAATTAGGGTGTTACACAATGTGTTTTAAACGCCAGACCTACAAAGAAGCTCATAAGGCGGCGAGAAAAGATGTCGAACGAGCCTTTGAGATGTTGAAGGGAAAATGACACATTCTAGATCGTTCGTCCAAGTGTTATTCTCAAACGAAAATAAGGAATATCATGTACGCATGCATTATTCTTCATAATATGATCATAGAGAACAACATGTTTACAAGTTGTCATTACAACTCGAACTAAGAGGTTCCTACGTACGAAGAAATTGACAACAAAAAGAAATGAAGAAACCGCTAAGAGATTCGAAGCGAGAGATTCACAATGCATTAACGGCAGATTAGATTGAACATATTTTAAGTCGCTAAAATAATCAGTAATTTCTTTGTAATGTAATATAATTTTTAATTTTTTTATTTATGTCGTTATTATTCAAATCTTATTTTATTAGTGCAAATTTTATATTTAATGAATTATTTTCATTTAAATTCAATTAATTAATGAATTTTGATAAATTTAATTTTACAAGATGCGTATTCAAAATATAAAAAATAAAAATTTAAAACCGCGAAACTTCAAACTCATTTCTAATAAATTTAAGAGAGTGCCATTTTAGCTGGCACGCTGCCACATAGCATCTGCCTCGCGTTCTTTGTGCGTTCCTCCACGGTAAGTGAGGTAGCCTCAAGGTTGCCACACTCTATTTTTTAATTTTTTAAATTAGGTTAAAAATTTAAAAAATGATTGAGCAGTTTCTAATTAGTTGAAGGATTATGCTATGTGTACCCTAAGATTTGTACCCCAATTTGTACCCCGCAGTTTTGCACCAACATTTTGTGTTGGTGTAAAACTAATTTTTGTTAAACACACCAACATTTGTGTCCGTGTGAATTTTTATTAATGCACCAACACTTGTGTCGGTGTAAACCATCGAAATGTTTGTACAAACCTGTGGTGTACAAATGGGGTATATTTGTTGGTGTAAGTGTAGCATGGTCCTTAGTTGAATTGTGCCAGATTTCTTTATTTGACAATGTTGTTAGTGCTGTTAGGTTGAGCTCAAAGACTAGGTGATCTGGATCCCCCTGTTTCAGTGTTAAAGGCTCTCTGTTGCACATAGTAACGCAACCCAGGATTCCCCCGGTATGTTTCATCACCACTGCTTCATCTCTACCTCCTTCCATTCTTCGCTTTCCTCTTCGAAATCATCGGCTATTACTTTTTTTTCGAGTTTCAATTGCTATAAACGAAATCAAACTTTTCCCATGTACCGAAAAATACAAACGGCCAAACAGTTGAGTTTAATGAGCTACATGCTATTCTGGTATTTTAATGTTCGCCTGTTTTTTGAGCTTATATAGTAGTACTCCTTCGAATTATACATACAGGTGTTCTTGCTGCCAGTGCACACCCGATGCCTCGGTATGTCTTTTATAGAGGGTTGCTCTTGGTTATGATGATTTCATATACTCCAGATCTTAAATTCGTGCATTTAGAATTCCAATTCTTTGTTTGGAAATCATAGAATTAAGGATTCTACAATTGAAATTCCAAATCCGTTAGAATTCCTATGATAATCACTTGGGTTTTGAAGTCAGGTTGATTTCTGGACTTCTGACCTTGTTAAAACATGATATGAATTTGACCCAGTTCCAAATTTGAATTCTACGACTTGTCAAACAAGGGAATTGGACCTATTCCAGATTTACAAATGAAATGCCCTTATACAAACACACTAACAGAAAGGCTTAGAGATAATCCATTTCTCTAATTTTACCTATTATGTTTTCTTCAGGTATTATTGTGATTACTGTGACACTTACTTGACACATGATTCTGTAAGTCACCTTATCCAACTCTTTATTATCATCATTATTATCATCATTAGTGTTGTTGTTATTATTCTTATTGTCGTTGTTGTTGTTTTTATTATTATTATTATAATAAAAATTCTTGTTACATCCATCAACTGTTTGCGTTGTTATTGTGAACCTTTTACTACAGCCATCTGTTAGAAAGCAGCATAATTCAGGATATAAACACAAGGTATCATGCCTATAGCTTTTTAAACATCATATACAAAATTTTTCTGATTTCTTGTAATTTATGAGTCTTGTGTTCAGGCCAATGTGAGGACTTATTATCAACAATATGAGGCACAACTTAACCAGAGTCTGATTGACCAGAGGGTCAAGGAGCACCTTGTTGCATTTAGGGCACCTGCCCCTCCTTATGCACAAATGAGACCTGGTCTTCCTATGTTTCCTACCCCAGCACAAATTCCTATTGCAGGAAATCCTCAACCATCAACTGGTAACCCCTTAATCCAAGGAATTCGGCCGCCAGTTTTACCACGGCCACTATCTGGTGTACCAGGTATAACTGCAAAATTGGCATTTTTGCATGTATACAAGCTCTAAATATTTCTCGTGACTAATTGCTTACCATCCACTTCTTTAAACTTCTTTATTACTCCATTCATCCCTAAATAAATCTCAAACGTTTCCTACAACCCTTTTTTGAAATTATCACCATGTTTTTGAAACTTGTGATTCTTCATTTTTACTTTTGTGAAGAATATGAGATGTTATACTCTTGCATATCACTCGTGTTGTTCACTCGTGCTTTAACTCATTAAGTTTTGTGAAGTTCATGTTTCTACTTTCTACTATCAACTTTCGAGTTTTAGTTATTTATAAAGCTTAGATCATTTTGCACTTCTTTAAAACTAAGGAAATCAACCATTTCTTTATCCTAAAGGCTTTTGAAGTGAAGTTCATGGTTCTATTTATGAGTACAAAGTTTTAGATTTATATAAAACTTGTATCATTATTCAAATATTTAAACAATGAAAGTATAAAAGTATATGGAAATATAGTAACCTAATGTTTTAATAATCCAAAGGTTTATCATTCCTATTGATATAGACCTATTAGTTCTTCTCTAAATAAGCATTCAAACGATCTTTAGAAATTATCATGCTGGAAGTTTATGTTATGACTTGTGAGTTCAATGTGAATAACATTAGTTTTGTGATTTAACAAACACACTGATTCATCCAACACAAAGGTAAACAGTCAACATAGGAAATTTCAGTATATACTGAGCTAACTTGAGACTTGTTTTGGTCTCTCTCACTCTCACACCCCCTTAGTTTTATTTTATTCGTTTTGAGCCGAAGGTCTATCAGAAACAATCTTTCCATCTCCTATGGGTGGAGGTAAGGTTTGCACATACATTTTACCCTCCCCGAACCCTTGTGGAATAACACTTGCATGTTGCTTTTGTTGCTGGTTTTGTTGTTGTAGTACTTTTGCAAATAGGTTTGATAGAAAAGTGATTTTTTTTCATCCAAAAGACTGCCCTCAAATTAATTGCACACAATGGACCACTTCATCGTTTTGCTTTTCGAAAATAACAGCTTACCCCTGAAGTATGGAAGTCTGTGCACTAAGCTCCCTAACCTTTGCTATATCAAATGGAAAAATACAGTTTGGAACACTAAACCTCTTTTCCATGGTCCAATGCTCGAGTATAAAGGTCTCCTTCACGTTTGAAAGCTTGACTCACAAGAAGCAGTGAAGGTCTGCCAACTCTCCGGGATTCCTAATTTCTACGAGAAAAAAAAAACAAGAACAAAACATTCAATTTGGGTGTGAGTCGTTGGATCGGAGCCTAGATCTGATTTCGGCACTTCCCATTCGTCCCATTTCTCTATCCCCCAATGTTAATGCCAAATCCTCTCCAGATATTGCGGTTCTGATTCAGTTTCCGCCGTCCCCGACCCGTAGACGTTTTTGGGTCGTCAAATGTCACTCTGCCGTGCAACCTAGTCGCATGAAGTAGCAGCTTTGATTCTCAAATTTTTTAATACAGAGTATATCCTTAGTTTTTAACTTTCTTTTTTACATGTTTTCTTGTTGATGCCACTTTTAATTCAACCCCTTCATCCCGAATTAATCATCTCACTTAACTATTTACGGTCATTTTTTCTTTCTTTACCAATTTTCGTTAAAGGTTTGTTAACATAACATAGTCATTAAGTTTATAAATATATACTTCCTACGTGCCACGAAACTTTCTAGTTTTGACTTTGGGAAGGAAGCTGTATGAATTTGACCAAGGGAAAAGGACGATAATCGAAACAAGTAGGGTTTAAAAAATGTCGGAATATGGAGGGCATAGAAAGGAGTTAGGGTATGTTAGGTTAGGTTTAGAAAAAGCAGAGGCATTTATGTCCATTTAGGGATTTTAGGCGAAATTGAAAAGTTTTTTGGGACAAGTAAAAAGAAAGAGATTTTGGGATGGAGGGAATTTTATTTTAAATTTTCAAGTATTATTTACATAAATGGAATTAAAGATGAATTCATTCAAGATTGACTATCTACTACTTTACTATAAAAAGAAGTGCAAACAGTTTAAAGAGTCATTATTCTTTATTTCATCATACTCCAAAGCCAAAAAAAGTAGTGAATCTTTGGCTACACCCGAGATGATGGAAATAACTACAATATATAATGTGCTCCCTCCTTTCACAAATTTACTTCCCAGTTTGACAGGCATGCAAATATATGTAATGTAAAAGTTACATTGACTTTTCTAAAATACCCTCCCTCACCCTCTACCCATACATTGCTCCACCCTCCCCTCAATTGCCACTACAACACTGACCCATACATTGCTCCACCCTCCCCTCATCTCCGATCTCGTCACCGTTCTCATCTCCACAGCTAGTAGGGTTTGACCCATTCAGATCTGTTGTTCTCATCTCAAACATTTCTGGTGTTGCTGCTCAAATCTTACTCAGATCTATTTGAAGCTCGTGATTTTCATAGTTCTTGGTGGACTCGATGTGATTTCCGTAAGAAGCAAATTGGCCTCTGTTTTTGGAATCAAGTTGTCACGGCCATTGACAAACATATCTACTTGAAGCTCATTCCATCTGGTCATGCCCCCACCGTTCCCGCTCTAAGGTTGACCTCGCCACCATCAGTCATCGGTGAGCATCTCCATGCCAGATCTGGACCAGAGTCCTTAGATCCGATGGAGCTCTAACGGAGGTGAGACTGAAGAAATGAGAAAGAGCTATGAAACGACTAAGAGGCTGAAACGAAGAAGATGATTTTGAGTTGTTGGGGATGATGGGTTGAAACGAAGAAGAATATGAGAAATGATGAAATGTTGGGTGGCAGTGAAATGTAATGGTGTTTGGGGAAGGAGATGATTCATTTTACAAGAATAACCTTGCCAAAAAAGAAAAAGGGAAGAAATTTTTTAAAAGAATGAAAAAAGTAAGTGAGAAAGTTTTGGGACGGAGGGAGTAATTTATTTATATTAGTGTTACTAATGTACAATACACACACACACATACATATGTGTGTGTGTGTGTGTATGTATGTATGTATATATCTTTGTGTGTGTGTATTCCGATTGACTGTTCTGTGACTTTTCTAGGGTATGTATCCGGCCCGCCTTTTGTTGCAGCACCTGTTGCCCCCATGCTGGGTCAGGTGAGTAGTTTTTTAAGGCCTCCCTCTATGAGTTCTCCAACTTCACTTCCAGCAACAGGTGCACCTATTGGTGACCATCCAGTGTATGCACCTCCTCCTCCTCCGATGCATCAAGGAGGTATATCTCTTCCAACCAGTGCAGCCGGTGATAGTCCCCCCAGCAACTCTCAGGCGCCTCCCAATTCCAATCATCAGTCTGGTTGAGACATTAGTTTGTTTTATGTACTCAGCTGTGATTGCTTCCCCATGATATGATGGGATGACTGAGGAATGCCTTTGGGAACCCAGAAGAAGGAACAATTCCCCCCCCCCCCCCCCCCACCCCCCATAGGATTTTGATGGGCAAATGTGATTGCGCTATTAATATACCCGGAGTATTTCTTAAAGTATATACCTGTCATTTTTGCTTTCAGCATTCTACTTTGGCTTGAAAGTTGAAACTTACAATATCTGACCCATATGTATCATTATTTGTCGTTGGATTGTTATTTTTGAGAAACAATGTAATGTAAGTATCTTTCACTGTTGGAGTGTTGACTAATGCCTGTGGGCATAGTTCAAGAAATTGGGGCAATCATTTGAAACCACATAACCACATTTGGATATCATGCTTTCTCTTTTGGTCTTTTATTTAGGTGTTTTTTTTAAAAAAAAATGTTGTTGTCTAAAACGTTTAAACCTTTTTCTGAAATCAATGGATGATAAATTATAATTACATGATACCTTTAGGACTGTTTTGATATTTCTATGGCATGCAGTAGTAAAAAATGGTACTCCGTGTTTCCTAATGCAAAGCACAAACTCTGGTACTTAATTGGAAGATCGATAAGAACTTCAAGCACAAAATTTGTACTTAGGACTCTACAAAAGATGAAAACTTTTAACTCTATTTCATTATTTTTTTAGGAGATATGACACAAATGAGAAAAAAAATTGCAGTACGTACTATGTACAAAGAAAGTATAATATACTCTTCCTCCTAGCCGGTGCAAGGTTTTCCTCGTGGGTCTCTACCAAGTTTTTTAAAATTTCTTTCGTGGTTCCTTCCTCTTTGTGTCTTTTTGCGATGGGGCCGGCGGTAGCGGGTATTAGGGGTGGACACGGTACGGTTCCGGGACGGTTCCGGTTCCGGAACCGCCGGTTCCGGTACCGCCACCCCTTGGTACCGGTACCGGTACCGGACCGGCCGGTCCGGTTCCGGTACCGTTTCCGGTACCGTTTCGGCCACCCCTAATTTTGTTTTTTTTTTTTGCTTTTTTATTATATTTTTAAAATGTAAAATTATAAATGTGTAATTGTTAAAGGAAATGATGAAATAAAAAAATCTAAAAATGAAATTGATAAAGGAAAGAATGAAATAAATAAAAAAATAAAAAAAATAACGGTACCGGAACCGGAACCGCCGGTGCCGGTACCGAAAAATGGGCACCGAAACCGGTACCGGATTGGGCGGTACCGGTTCCCGGAACCGGTGGACCGTACCGGCCGACGGTAACGGTACCGGAACCGGCGGTACCGTTTCCGGTACCGGTACCGTGTCCACCCCTAGCGGGTATGGACGCTTTGCGATGGGGCCAGCGATAGTGTTCAGGTTTTTATTCTTCCACGGTTGCAAAGGATTTGATCGGCGGTGAAGGTATTTTTTCCTACATTGCCAATTGTTTTTTGGCTAGTCGCCACTGTGACACTCGATAGCCTCTACGATTTCAAGTGTGTATGATTCACGAATCGTTAAATTTGTGTGGGGCGGGTGTTGGAGTCCACGCCCGTCAGAATCAATGAGTACTATTAGTTGGAATTGTCGTGGTTTGGGCAACCAACGGACAGTTCAGCAGTTAGCGACCCTTGTTATTGCTAAAAAGCTAGATTTTGTTCTTCTTATGGAGGTTAGGTGTTCTCGTGTAAAGGCGGAGGAATTTAACCTACAAATTGGTTTTGATGGTTTGTTTGTTGTTGAGGGGATTGGGGCTAGTGGTGGATTAGCTTTGCTGTGGACAAATAATAACACGGCTCTTTTTTATCCAGTGGTTCTTTTCAGGCTCTGTTCGTAAGCCAATACAAGATGGAGTTCAAGCCACGCCCGTCCATCAAAGGCATGCATTAGCAGACTTTCAGGTAGAATGTACAGCGAGGGAGCTAACAAGAATCCGGGAAGCGACCCGGGAAGAAGAGAAAGGTTGGGGGATCATGTCTATAGATGGGTCGTTTAGAGCCCAGTCCTGCGGAGCAAGAATAGTGTTGATTACCCTTGAACGGTTTAGAATATAGTATGCTATCCATTTTAGTTTCCAGTGTCCAACAATGAAGCTAAGTATGAAGCTCTTATCAGTGGATTGCGGATCGCTGATAAGTTGGGGGTGCTGAAGATCCAGATTCACAGTGATTCAAAACTACTCCTAGGACAGATCAATGGAGAGTTCAAAGGGAAGGAAGAGCGAATGTGGAAGTATAGGGATATCTCCCTGGAAATGTTGGGCAAGTTTGAGTACCAGTTGCAGCATATACCCTGGGCCGATAACACTGAGGCCGATGTACTGTCCAAAATTAGCAAAGAGACCCCGGAGTACATCAGTAAGTTGGCTACCGTTGAAGAGTTACATGCGCCCAGCTTGCAAAAGGAGAATGTGATCTGGGTGACAGCCAACCCTTTAGAATTGTTGGACCGTCTTGCCAAATACATAGAAGACGACGTAGCCCCCGAAGATCAAAAGGAGGCGAGTTGTTAAGGATGAGGGCTACAAGCTATGTGATTTAAGATGGGACCATGTACAAAAGGTCCTACAATGGGGTGCTGCTCCGATGTCTCAGGGCAGTAGAGGACAGGGCTTTGATCGAAGAAATCCATGATGGAACCTGCGCGGCACATCAAGGGTCGTACGCCATATCCTGGATGGCCATTTTCGAGGGGTACTTTTGGCCGTCTATGAGAAAGGACTGTGAAGATTATGTGCGCAGGTGTCCCACTTCAAGCAATTCTAGTCTATCTTAGGAAGACCAGCAACAAACTACACCCTTATTAGCATAGTGATTCCTTTTGCCATATGAGGGGTGGATTTGGTGGGAGCCTTGGCAAAAGGAAAGGGATGAGTCACATGGGTGGTAGTTGCTATCGATTACTTCACAAAGTGGATAGAAGCAAAACCCCTCGCTAAAATAACTAAGCATCAAATGATCAAATTTGCGGATACCAACATCTTGTGCAGATTTGCGGTTCCAGAGCAAATAATTATGGACAATGGAACCCAGTTTGAGGGGGAAAAGCTCACGAGTTTCCTAAAGACTTGGGGGATACTCTATAGTAAAGCTTTAAGAAGATATGGGAATAAAAAGAAGTTAATGGACGAAGGGAGTAGTAAGGCTGATGAGTTGTTGGGATTTAGCAACCGAACAGAAGACACACCATTTGGCTTAACATATGGCTTTGAAGCTCAGGCACCGGCAGAAACAGAGATTTCGACATGGAGGGAGTAACAATATGACCCTCAACGGAATGAAGAGAATCAAACTTTAGAACTTAACTTCCTGGAAGAAGGAAGAGATGAGGCTAGGATCAACGCATAAAACTACACAAGGCAAGTGAAGTCCTACTTCGATAATAGGGTGAAGCCCAGAAAATTCTAGGTTAGGGATTATGTTTTGAGGAGAAGGGAGAAGAGCCAGGCAACCAAGGGAGAAAAATTTTCTAAGACATATGAAGGTCCATATATCATCAAGGCAATCATACGCCCGAGTACATACTAGTTGATGATCCTTAAGGGGAGGGAAATAGATAGTACATGGAATGTAGAATACTTGGTCAAATTTTATCAGTAGTATTCAATGTAATCACTTATGATTGATTAATAAAATACAAAGTGTTATTTCACTATTCTTTCCAAAAAGGGGGAGGGGGGAAGCTACCCCCCAGATAGATAAGATAATGCCCATACAAGTATAGGGAGGTAGAAAAGATTATGCCACATGCTGAAGATAGGGGAGATAGAAAAGATTATGCCCCCGGAGGTAGAAAAAAAAGCCTCCGTCAGAACATGGAGAAAGGTTGGAGTTTGATATTGTAGTTTAGCGGCAAGCAAACCTTCCCAACAAAGGGTTAGTTTTTGCTCCAAGTGTTGTGTCTCTTGAGGAGTTTGACGAAGAGAATTAGCTAATTTTCTCTAGCTAGGCGAAGGTTAGCACATGTTTATGAAAGTATTCTTTATACGGTTAAAGAGAACTAATAGCTAAAAATAATTTTATTTTATATAGTATAAGCAAGATCTGGACCTACAGTCAGAACATTATATGAGTTAACCATATCACATATAATTAATAGTTCGACAATAGTATTTCTACCATTACTTACCTATTTCTAGAATTCGTAATTAACCCGTTTGGCATAAATATGAAAACCTTTCATAGTTGTAATATTTTCCAATATATGTAGTTAATTAAATCTTTAAATAGTAATTAACAAAAAAATATCAGGATAACCATTCCAACATTAACTAAACATTCAAAGCATATGGCCTAAAGCCCTTTAAATACCAACTAGATTTATTATAAATAAATTCTAGCATGTAGTCACAGTTCCAATAGGTCTGTGACTCTAATTTAGCATATCGAGATCTCTAACTTTTGCACGGGTTTTGCTGATCCCATCACAGGGTACTTGTTGTAGCATCTTCTGTGTCACCCAAAAAAATTGCACGAACTCTAGGAGTCTAAATAAAATAAACATCTCCTAACAAATAAAAATTTCTACCTAGTAAAACTCCTAACATATATAATAATTAATTTTGCCAAAAGATTAGCCAGCATCTTGAAACTAATAGAAGGGATATGAATAAACCTAACGAAAAAATAAAATATCCAAATTTATAGATTTATTCACATAATACAATGATTATACAAAGTAAACATAAGAAGACAAAGAAATTAGCTATCGAAAACTGAGAGCGTAGCGGCCTTCTGCGCAACAATGTAGGTAGCCTGACGGGTAGTGATGATGAGCGACCGGATGCTCTTGAATCGAGGATAAATTTATTAAAAGGCAGCGATGAAATAGCAAAAAGAAAACCAAAAGCAATGAACGAAGAAGGAAAGTAGAGTTGCCGGAGCTCTCTTTAAGATGGTATCAACTGCTTGGATGAGGTATTACTCGATTAATGATCATTAACAATCATTGATCTCGCAACAGCCACTATACGAGTTACTACTCGGTTAATGATCATTTGATGATCATTAGTCACGTCCATTATGATTCGTATATGGTTCAAACTTTGCCCATTTAAATTAGAGATTACTAGCAAGTTAACTCCATAGTTGGGGAACTAATTTTAAAAAATGTATAAATAGTAGTAGAAGTACGTAATGTTCAAAAAGGATAGTGTCATCACCCTCAAGACGAGAGAAAGTAGTCAAGAAGTTTCCTAAATGCCCAGAGCTCGAGGCCCGAGCCGTGGGAGGGCCAAGCCGAGCCGGACCGATGGAGAAGTGCACATTGACTTTCTTTTTGTAATGCATTTACTAAGCTTATAAATGCTCCCGCTTATATATGGAGCATTTATAAGATACATTTTCAATGAGGTATGGAAACTCAA